AGAATTTAAAAACTTATAAATTCAAAAGTTGCCTTTTGATATTAACTAAACAAATATTTATATAAAAACAATAAAAACTTTTAAGTTTAAAAATAAAATAACGAATACCACATAAATACATATTCATCTAGTATATTGTTATATGTCGTTTCTTTAACCGTGTTAATTGTTCAACATATTCTTAAATGATATTTTTTTTACTTAATTTTACCTTTTTGAATGAAGATAACTCAAAAGAGCTGAATACTTCTTTCTTTCATATTATTTATTCTTGAACTCATGTTTTTGCAGCACTTTTGATTGAACAGTCGTGACTAAATCATAAAGAAAAGTATTCAGAAGATTTTATTTTTGTTACATTATACTGATCTTTGAGTTTATCTAACACGATTCGTAATTTTGGTCTGAAATTTTGACCTTTCATATTAAAAAAAAAGTTTTATAAACTTTATTAAAAAATTTGTTCTCTTTTAAGTCTTATTAGAAGTTGATAGGGTTATTTAAACTTTTAATTTGCACACTTTTCTTATTTTAGATATAAAAATAATTTAAAAAATAAATATTCAAAAATGATCAAATCGTTTTTATATATTCAACTTCGTAATAATGAGCCTTTTTAAATTACAATAGCTTTTTCATCATGATTTAAGGCATAGTCGGACGGTGATTGAAATTAGTGGCTTAACCTGTCACAGATTACGGACGTGCGACATTTTTCATCGTTAATGTCACTCCTGTGTGCTGCGTAGCAACACAAGAGTGATAAAATCCGATGTAAGTTATTCTCATAACCAATTACTAGATAATCATAAGTTCAACAAGATAATAAAAAGTAATCACTAAGCAAAAAGTAAAACACTAAAACAGAACATGCCCAATGATAATCCTTCAGTAGATTTTGACTTGTAATATTGAATAGTTTGCAGAATTCTCTAACCAACTTAATTAAAAACACGAAAAGCATAAGTACAATTGGTCATGTGATTGGAAGAATGCCAGCACGCCAAAGGTGCCGGAAATAAATTCAATTAAAGGACTTTAAGTCCGCAAAATACATTATGAGTAATTTGAACTGAGTAATTTGAGCTGAGTAATTTGAACTGAAACGATGATATGCTCCCGGAAAAATTAGCAAGTGAGATTTCTCCCAGGTATCATCGTAACAGTAGAATGAGTGAGAGGCAGCATCAGCCAGTGGTTTCCCGCCTGCTCGAACTGCTCGAAGCAGGCCAGCTGTTAAATAGGAAAATGGCAGAATCATGAGAGTGTTCCAAAAAAATCAGATGTCCTGATTTTGCCATTTGCCTATGCATTTATTGGAGTGGTGCATGACGAGTGCCATTGCTTGGATCGCTTTTATACGCATTTGTGTTGTCAATATATTAGCTGCTTGGCTAAACCTTATTGGTTGGCTGGCTAATTAGAGCCGTTTGTGTATAGTCGTTGAAGTATGTGAATGCTTATGTGCGCTATTGTCGGTTTTGCTCTTGTTTATTTGATTTTGACTGTTTAATATTAGCTCATATTTGCTGAGGCTATTATTCGGGGCAGAAATATTTCTTATTAGCATGGTGTAATTGGGTGCCCGAAGGTGCCAATAGTGTGTGTTGATGTGAGGGAAACTCAATTACAGTATGCTTGATTAATGTTGCTATTGTGACTGGACGGGCTCGGATATACTTGTAGGACTCTGAGTTCCATATGCTAATCCCTTTGGATCTGTACATGGATGCCTAAATTCCCATCTTAATAAAAAGTAATTGCGGTATTTAGGCAGCTGAAATTATTCTTATATAGTGTCGAAATTAATTTCCTATTTGCGAAGCTATTGCCGGACTCTTCATTAAAATACATCATATTATACAGTTATTTCGAAGGGTTCCATATAAAAGCCGCCGAAATACAATCTTCCAAAAAAAATAATTTAGGCACCCATGTATGTTTGGATCAGTGTAATTGGACCTGAAGATGTACGCTAGTTGTTTCTCCGGCTCCAGAACTATGGCAGGTGATGTTATTCATGGTAGCAAGTGATGTTTGGTTGCCCGGGATCCATCGGCCCTGGTGAAGAAATCAGCTCTTTGTGCCTGATTGTTAGGCTGGATCTTTGAACTGTATGTGTTTCCAAGGAGCCCGCCAGACGTTGCTAGGTTTGTTTCTGTCTCAGTCTGAGGCAGTCCCTTGTGATGTTGCTTTGATTGGCAGATTTGTGAACATGGTTTGTTGATAGTTTCCAACAGCAGCCCGCTTAGCAGATTATGGGAGTAACAGATATTACATGATATCGTGAAAGGCAAGGGTCAGCTACTATCAAAATTAATCTGTACTATCCTTACTGTCCAGCTGGGTAGTTCACTGTGTGATGTCTGGTGCTGATGAGTGTGATAAAGAGTGGGGCAATTTCCATGCATGTGAGTAGTGCTCCGAACGGGTCGGGTCGGGTCGGGTTATGAGCCAACCCGAACCCGACCCAAAATTTCGGGTCGGGTTATGAGCCAACCCGAACCCGACCCAAAATTTCGGGTCGGGTCGGGTTACAGCTGTTTTCATTATTCCTGGGACACCTATAAAAAAATTAGCCGAAAAATTTTTCGGACAGTAATTTTTTCGGCATGATCGGTATATAAAAAATATATTTACTGTAATAATTATATAATATCTACGTCATAAATTAAATTACATTGTTGTTTTAATTTCAAAAATTACTATAATAAATAAATATAGTACCTGTTCTACAAATAAATTTATTATTATAATGTCAACATTATTAAAATTTCGTTTGAATGCTTGCCCAATATGTTTAGTATGTTTAATTTGTGCGAAAGTTTATGAAAAAGATTGTTCTTGTCAACCAATAAAACTTGACAAAAAATATAAAAAAGGCTCCGGATATCAAATTAGCTTTTATAGTAAATATATTACACGAATAGGTGTTAATATTAAAAAAGTTAGATATGATCAAGAATTCATCAATTGGACTAAAAATTCAACTAAAAATTCAACTAAAGTCGAGATTCCAAAAAATCAAGACTTAATATGTATCAAAAATGTGTTAAAAATTATGTTTAACACAATCAAAGCTCATAGTAGATCTAACAATTAAAGATTCTCTAAAATCTTTATCGTCCATGGCAAATACTTTTGAGTTATCTGACTTGTCAACAATGCAAACATCGAATTATAGAATCAAAAGTCAATTTAACTTATTGAATCTTATAAATACAACCTAAATGTGATAAAAAAGATTTGGGGCATGCTAAGAATGATCAGAACAATTAGAACAATCAGAACAATAAGATGCTTAACATATCCACTGATTTGGTTTAACCCAAAATTAGCCAATCATAATTGAGAATTATTTGTTGTTAAAATTTATTACAAGGTAAGTTTTTACAAAAACAGTCTTTTAAACTTACTTTGAAGCCATAATTAAGTGTGCAGAATATTGCAATATCTACATGCTTAATTATTAGCTAACAGTAGGTTAAAAAGGCTGTTTTCCTGAAAAATTACCTCCGAATTCACCCTTACCCATTATACAACTGATCGTTCGAATGGCAAACTGATCATTCACTACCCGAATTTACCCAAACACTTCAACAACTAGTGTTAGTGCTTTCTTTTATGCTTAGTATGGTTGTTTTTTTAGTATTTATTGCTAGTTTATCTTATATAAAGGCTAAAAAGTTGGGTTTATTGAATGTTTCGTTTGTTATCTTCACGTCACTTAATGGCAAAAGGTTGTGTAACCGTTTATCAAAAAAAAAACTCCTAAAAATCAAATCGGTGGATATGACTTTATTAGAAATGATTTTTTGCATGTATATCGACAAAGAAAGATTAGAAATTTATAGACAAAACCATAATTACTATTGTATATATCCTAAAAAATTCCAGTCATAGCGTCGAGATAATATTCTTCTGTCATAAGCAGTTTCATCTGAAAAAACTAACAGACTTGGTGTATACTGGGACATTCGTAAAATGAATTGTTTCTATTGACTTCATTTCTTTCTTTTGCGAGTTTTGAAATCTATAAAATTAAATTTGTTAAAGTTTATAAAATAAAAATATATGAAATATTACCTTTTTGTGTGTATATCCAAGTTGGTCCAAATTGTTATAAGACCAATGTTACGTCCCAACCAAAGTTCCATCTCGGATTTACCAGTCAGGTTTTTCTTTCATTAAAACTTAAAGATAATTTATATCATTCATATTTAAGAACGTGGTTTTCCCAAAAGTGATGGAAGTTTTTCAATACAACCATATCTTTGAAAATGCACAAGAACCCGACTTATAGGAGACCTGCTAACA